TTATTGTAAACCTTATAAACATATTCTGTAAGATACAATAATGTATATATAATAGGGATGGCCAACACGTAGACCGCGGTCGACCGGTCGACCACAAAGGTTTTGAAAGTAGCCCGCGAAGCTAATGTTGAACAATTTGCTTTCACTTAAATTAATGTTTAAAAATCTTAATTCGATAATTTATTCTTACAATAATAGACTGTCTGTGCAACGTACCCATACTGTTTGTATTTATCCCGATGAACAATGCAAATGAACGTTAAACGCATGCGCATATAAAAATCCTAAAATTGTTTGCCCATATTCATAGTCGCCCGCAGACTATATTTTACCAAAAAAGTAGCCACTAAGGGATAAAAGTTTGGCCACACCTGATATATAATAATCCGGAAGTTGCTGGAAGAAAGGCTCTAAAGTATAAACCTGAGTAGGGCTGCAAAGATCAATAGATGTGTTGTCAGCGGCTATTTTGATAAGTTGAAGGATGTATTGACCCGGTTAGGTGTTTTCGACAAGCCCCAACTAATATACAATATAGGCGAGAAAGACTGTTGACTCGCTCTCCATAAACAACAAAATATGTATGTCAGAAAAGGAGAAAAAAGAGTGCATCTTGTAGAGCCTGAACACGGTGAAAACATGTCTGTTGTCTCGTGTGGAAATGCACTGAGTCAAGCCATACTCCTATGATTATTTTAAAAGTGAAAAGATTAAATCTTGAATAGAAGGATAACCTTCCACCTGGCACCGAGGTTAAGATGGCTGAGGAAGGATTAATGACCACAGCAAGTTTCATCAAATGGGTTTATCATTTTGCAAAATTCAAACTTTAAAATTTGTTAATATGTTATTGTGCAAAATTTGTGTTAAATACCTTTTTTGTAACTCTTACTTTTAACCTTAATTAATAAATTATTTCTTTACATATGGGCCTTATTTGGGACTACTAATGAGCCTTATTTGAAACAGGAGAGTTCCAAATAAGGTCCATTACATAACTTTTGGAAAATGTATTATTAAAGAAAACTTTTCGAATGCTGCCAACTATAATTTCACATTTTCGCAAGTATATATCTTACAGTATGTTGCAGTACAACTTTCAGACTTTTTTCTCTAATAGTGAAAATACAAAAGGTTTTAAAGCCTTTAGATGCGCCTTATTTGCCGAATGTACTGTACAGTACCTTATATCCAACTTAATTTTCGAACATTTTGTTTTAATTAATAAATCTGAAGACTTATTTAGAATTGATTACAGTCTAATATGGTTACGTGAAGAAATATAATAAGTTTATTTAATTAGTTTTAAGTTTAAATTATNCAATATCATACAATAATATAATTACATGATAATACAAATATTAAATCAAGTGCAACAAAATAGCCAACGTAATAAACATTTGCTTCGTTTATGCCCATACAGTAATGGCGAACCTGTGACGATTTCAAGCTACCGCATTAAATATTTAAAAAGTTTTACGTTTTTATAAATTAATAAAAATATACATTTGCTAGATTTCAAAACTTTGCATATGTAATGTAAAAGCAGATCTTAAAGCTTTCGAGAAAAGTTTTGATTATAAACCTTTGATAGAAAAATTATCAAATAAACAACAGTAGATTTCCCATTAAAAGAATTATTTGTTGCCATTATAATCACATTATTATTTTCTTTTCACTTATATGAACTACAGTTTATTTATTTTATTTTTTTTTTATATAAATTAAAAAGTTAAATAAAGCAAAATTTGTAAGCATTTATAGTTAGTTTTTTAGTAACTAAAAAACTAACTATAAATGCTTACAAATTTTGCTTTATTTAACTTTTTAATTTATATAAAAAAAAATAAAATAAATAAACTGTAGTTCATATAAGTGAAAAGAAAATAATAATGTGATTATAATGGCAACAAATAATTCTTTTAATGGGAAATCTACTGTTGTTTATTTGATAATTTTTCTATCAAAGGTTTATAATCAAAACTTTTCTCGAAAGCTTTAAGATCTGCTTTTACATTACATATGCAAAGTTTTGAAATCTAGCAAATGTATATTTTTATTAATTTATAAAAACGTAAAACTTTTTAAATATTTAATGCGGTAGCTTGAAATCGTCACAGGTTCGCCATTACTGTATGGGCATAAACGAAGCAAATGTTTATTACGTTGGCTATTTTGTTGCACTTGATTTAATATTTGTATTATCATGTAATTATATTATTGTATGATATTGAAAAGGATTATAAATCTAAGTAAAAAATAACAAATGACATTATATTTATTGAGGTCATTACATAGTTTTATTAATTCGTTATAAAGTTTTAATCACTGTTTATGATCTGTAAGATACAACATTCATTTTTACAAAAAAATTAAAAATTATAATTGAATACTTTTCTGTTTCAGATCTATAAATATAATTTTACAATGTTTCGTGCCTTGAGTTGTTTTTCCTGGAATTTGCGACAGAAAACTTTAAATTTTCTAGTAATTTCTGGGTAAGAAACATTTATTTAAACCATATTATAATGATTAGTAGAAAATCGAGAAAAACGGGTGGTAAACCGAGAAGAATCAATGATAAAAAAAGTGGGTGTTCACTTAAAATAGGCCCGTTGAGATAATGAAACATTAGTGAAGTAAATTTTATAGGAAATATTTAAAAAGGAAAATGTATAAGACCAATCCTAGAACTATACGCAAACTGAAGAAAAGCATTCTCAGAAGTATCGAAACTATCGAAATCATTGTTACTTAACGTCAGTCTGAACAAGATTATTTTCCTACAAAAAGGTGCATAAGTTAGACACACAAGGACATCCCTTTCAGTATCTGTAACTTTCTATAAATTTAAATAATGTTAAAATAAAATTTCCAACGAGTGTCCTTTGCATTTAAAATCGGTCCATTGGAAACAATTCAAATGAATCTTTTCAAGTCGACCGATTTTAAGTGGGACGTCCTGTATTATAGATAATTGGTAAATTTTTGAAATCTGAATTTATCAATACTCTAATATCAAAAACTTTATGCTACATATTTTTTTGCAAGANAATAATATGAGAATAACTATTCATATTAGGCCTATATATTGTAGGTAATTGTGTTTTTGTGCTATGAATCAATTATTTAATTAAATCAATTACAAGCATACTTTGTTTTTAATAATGTTTCGGGCCATAACTTCCGTAAACTCCATGGATATAGGGAGAATAATAGCTAGATCCGTAAGGATGTCCGACGTAGCTTCCGTAGTTATATCCGGTATAAGGATAAACAGCAAGAGTGGCAACCACAAGGGCCAAAAAGAGGAGGGCAACCTAAAACATGAGAATTAGTATTGCAGAAAGTCCATTGATAAATATAGATATAAAAATCAAGAATACTTACCAAAGTTTTCATGATGATAGAGATATTGCTGTACTTCTTTGAAGTTAAGCAGAATGATTCTCTGAGTGAAAAAGCTCCTTTTATACATGTTCTTCTCTATACAAAAAATAAAATAATTATGACGTAATATTTTAAAGATGACCAATTGAAGATTTTTATTATAATTTCAGAAATATCTTCACTTACAGCATTCGTTGATTTGTTAGAACAACTTGATTCGAATCCTCCCCACTTTCACCTTGAATTTTCAATGTCCAGATGGTCACATAAGCAATAAGTGAAGGGAGAATAAAGATACGACCTTCGACAACGCCTCATCTTTACGTTTCTTGGCCTTGATATTGATTAGTTTTCATTTAATTAATTTTAATTATTTTCATGAAGTTGAAATATTAACTTAATTTTGATTTGATTTGTAATATTCCATATCAGGATTTTGTGAAAAAACGAATCTATAATTATAAAATACTAAACGATTATAAAACTATCATAAAACGAGTCATAAAAATTAAAGATCATTTCATTAGNAAGTGTTTTTTGAAAAAATGGTAATAAAATCTCTTCTTATTTACTTTATTATTTGTAGCTTCTTGGAGAATAATGAGTTCCGCATTTGTAAATGGACTAGGCCCTATTTCTCTTCCTCCACCTATGCCTCCACTTATAAGTATATAGGCCTATATTAAGTTTCTTTCAAATAAATACAGTGTTCTCCTTCCGTAATCTTGGATCTTGATACTGTACTGTACAGGACATTATTATTAATCATTTTTTTTAAATTTCAAACCGGTATTAACAGATACCATTTTAGAAATCAACTCTAATACTACTTTTATTATGAAATTAACTTTATTAGAACATTATTTGTTATTATCAGTCTAAAATTATAATTAATTGATTAGTATTTTCTTTAAAATAGCATCGTAAATTTTGACATTTTTTCTCTTACAGCTTCAAAATGCCAGTGATTGCAATAAAATGGAATCGATTTAATTAACTTTTTTTTTACAAATGATAATACAGTAATACCCCGAACTTACGCGATAGGTGGGACCGAGCGATAACCGCGTAAGTCGAATTCGCGTAAGTCGGGGTATAATTTCGCAATTTGTGTAAAATCCAAGTCGGATGTATGTAAGCTAATAAATGTTCTCGTTAACCTTATCTCGTCTTTTGATTTGTTCATGGTTACAAGAAATCACCACATAGAGTCTCTCCAGTCTCCGTAGATATAACAAACACAGAAATAAATAACACAAAATAAATTGTAGCTATACGTCGATTATGCGCGGCACGTCCGAACATGTAAGCTAAACAATAGTGTGGGGGAGTGAGTAATCGAGAGTTGCGTGGCGCTCAAACAAAAGACGAATCGACGAGATTTGAAAATCGCGTAACTCCGGGTTCGCGTAAGTCGAGGTATTGCTGTATCTCTGATGTAGCTTATTAATTAAATCAATTTTTATTCAAATTTACAGTAAACTATTTTTACCACTTTATGAAAATTTTAAAATGCTAACTTATGCAAATTAACCTATAATTAAAATAAAATACAACATAAAAATAAACATAAATGAAATATTTTTATTAACTTTTTCATTTTAAAATATTACAAAAAAAGAAGAAAATAATTTGTAGGCCTACATCGACTTTTGATTGGATCGAAGAAATATTATTTCATTAAAAGTCTGTAAAAAAAATCATTAATTTAAATAGATTTTAAGAGAAAGTTAATATATTGTTAGTTATGCTTACTATCAGTCTGTTATTAATAATCATAAACTTTGGGATAGCCATAATAACCGCCGTAGATTTTAGAGTTTTTTAAATAATCGCCATAAATTCCGGGAGTGTATCCATAATGTCCACCGTAAATTTTGGAATTATAGGGAGATTGGTCGTTTCCGTAAGGATATCCATATCCTGCATAGATACCGTGGCCGTATCCAGTAAATGGATGTACGCCTATAGTAGCTCCAAGAGTAGCAACGATAAAAGCAAAAAGCAAAAGGGATACCTGAAAAAATGAATTATCATTTAATATAATAGTTTTCAAAAATTCGAAAATGTACTTACCAAAGCTTTCATGATGTTAAAGGTTGTTACACTTGTTTGAAATTAACAAGAATAAGTTTTTGAGAATAATCAGTCTCCTTTTTATAGTAAACTGAAGGAGAAGATGAAAAAATTCACTAAGATAACGGCATAAATTATATTACTCGAGATTAGAGATTCCTTCCAATAAAATGATTACATTTTCGAATGTGACTAAAATTTATTTAATTAAAAAATTTGATTTGTGAGAAAATATTATATGAATCCTCCTTCCTTTCACCTTGAAATATCAAATACAAATCCGATTGTTTTTTCCAGACTTTTGTGGTCGTGATGTAGATTGTCTATGATAATAGCTTTTGTTAATAGGCCTACTGTCATTCTTGTCATAGGCCTACTGTCTTGTGAAAATTCCATGATTAGGTTTCAAAAATTAAGCTCTAATTCACGATATTCGTGATAAATTCTTTTTATATACGTTAAGTGTTTAAACTTTAGAATTTTAATTAAAACCTCCATAAAAATTTATTATGTAAAACACAAAGTAGTCAGAAATTATCTCGACCCAATATAGGTTACTACAAAAAGTGTTGTAATTGAGAGATCCGAGTGAAAATTAATACATAAATTACACCAACCAGGGACAGATCTACATGGGAACTAATAGGGCTTAAGCCCTAGACCCGCAAGTGTCAAGGGCCCACAAAAATTGAATTATTACCAAAATTTTTAATACTTTTTCATTAAGAATGAACACTATCGTATAGTAAAAATAGTTAATATTAATAATATAACAATAATGATAATTTATAGTATTATTTGTATTAACAAAAAATGGGGCCCCATTGGACTTTAATAAGCCATAGTCCTTGAAAATCCTTGATCCAACCCAAGCTTAAGATATGTAAATAAATTACGTGGCACAATTACGGTTAATGATATTATAACTCAAAAATTTTTATGAAAGTACTCGAGTTTAATACAGTAAGCGTAAAAAACACTACAAATGCATTATTTTGCATATCTCTAGATCTAATAATGATGGCACTATCGCGGATTAAAAATGGTCAACGCTAGAACCATTGGCTAATATTATCTCACTTGCTGAACTGATCGTTTAATTGGTTTAATATTTCTAGTTTTTGCCATCTCATTTATTTAAATTGATGAAATAAACTCGTGATTTAAACAAATTAGAGGACATCCATTATGGACAAAATTGTAATTGACTGCTGTTCGTGTGCTGTCCTAGTTGTGCTGCCTCAACTGGGACAGCATTCGAACAAATCAAGAACGGAATTTACACCAAAACGAAATTATTAAAGTTTATACCGTGAATGGCTATAATGCTGCCGACGCATTGAAATACTTAGATTAAGTCAAGCTGTGCATGATTTAAGACAGACTGTACAAAATTGATTTAAAGTAATAATCATAATATTTGAAGCTTAATTTAAATTTCTAAGTTTGTAAAGTAACGTTTTATAAATAATTTTTAGCAAAGTTTTGTGTGAGAATAATTGCAGAAATACGCTTATATACTAAAATAGTATTTTCAGATTCTTAAAATATTTTTGTCGTGTTTATAGTTTTATTCACTTTTTTACAGTTTTAAACGTTAAAACAGCATCCTATTGTATAAAACGCCTCGATGCAATGCTTATCCTGCTTACCGCCTAATGCCATCTCTGACACAAGTGAACGAAGTGCATTTATTGATGCCGTATAATTATCGTGAAAAAGATTCCTTCTGTATCACTAACGTCGTCACTGCCGTCGAACTCAGAACGGATGGAGACTAACAATCTCAGCGAACTTCACGAAACTGTAGCGTCGACATTTTTTACATCTAGTATGCCGTTTAAAGCCAAATGATTTTTGAAGCACAGTATTTTTTTATGCTGATAATATTAAATTTAGGTACAGTATTTCCATATCTTAAGTTACGGTACTGTTAACCGTAATTTTGGAGTGTAGTAAGTTACGTATTTGCTCTCAATTTTACACATCTGAGCTCAATCGAATAGTAGGATAGGCCTACTACTGTAATAATTTTCCCTCAGAACCTATAATTACAGCTATTTCTACAGCATGTTGAGTTGGTCAGGTTACATTCTAATAACTTTACAATTTTGAAAGTGGAAGTGAAGACTTATAATTTATAAAGTATAATTATATGATAAGTCTAACTATTGTAACTATATAGTTATTATGAGTTCATTAAAATATAAGTTAACTTATATTTAAATGAACTGAGAGTCTAATAATTTAATAAAATGAAAATATTTAAACAGCTTAAACAAATATAAATGTTTTAGCTGGCATTACTTAATTAAAAAAACAACATAAATTTAATAATTTTGAAGTAACTTAATTATAAGTTATGATAAAATATAGGCTTATTTATTGCGATAAAATATTTAATTTAATTATGTGAAAAATAATTGAATTTTAAACTGTAATACTATTTATTTTATAAGTAGAATTTCTAATAACATAAACAGCTTTAAAATATAATATGATTATTTCTTTCATTGTATTTGTTTAAGTAATAATTAATTAAATATAACTTTTAACTGCAATATAATTTGTGTTAATATATAAATTATGCTAATTGAATTTTATCTGCTCTTAAAAAATAAGGTAAGATGAGTATTAGCCACAGGATGTCCATATCCGTAGCCGTAGCCGTATGAATATGGTGAATATACAACGGCAAAAATATATTTAGCTGCTCTTAAAAATATCCAATAATATTAATCACAGCAAATATAAAAATAAGTAAAGAATATTCTTTATTGGAGAATACGATTGAAAGTAGTCCAATGAGGTGTTAGTAGGTGGAGTTAAATTATACATAACTACGTGCTGATTGGTTAACAAAATTTTATTATATTATTTAGTTATATAAACATTTTCTTGCACATTTTTCTAAACAAAATATTTTAAAAGAATATTTTTAGTTCTTTAATTATTTACATGTTATATTATAGATATAGGCCTACTATACAAGCTTCAGTTTCAAAGTTCTTAAAATCCATTTAAATTTAAAAATATGTTTTTCTTTATACAAGATTCGTTCTTAAAATACGTAAGCAGTATTAAAACGTTCATTGTTATAAAAATATATATTTTGGTAAAGATCCTAATTATTATTTTTATTATTATTGATTTTTATTGTTAAAATATTTATATTTGATATTTTATTTTTGTAATAATTTCGAGTTTAATTATTTTTTATAGGAAAGCATTTAAAAATACAGGCTTATTATAATACGAAACTTACTTTAATCCAATTTTTAAAATTTTTCTTAAATTTTAATAATCGATCGTATTTTAAAATTTCACTGTTTAACTTATAAAGTGTTTATATTTTGTTTTTTTTTACTTTTAAAATGCTTGTTTATTCGGAAATATTTTAAAATGTTTTAAAATAAACCCGTTCTGTTTTTTTTTTAAATTTGACATTTTATATAAAATATTATTTTCTATATTCGAAAATTAAAACTCAATAAACACATGACAACTGAATTTAAGAATGCTTTTTTGTATTTTATTTTAAAATAGAAAAAAATTACACAAGAAGAAACATAAAACAGGAAAAGAGTGAATTTGGACGTCCAACTTCAGAAAGAATTAGGAAGAAACTTTACAAAATAATTTTCTGAAAAAAAAAAATAAATATGTGTAAAAATTGAGTAAAAAGATTTAATTGATGATCTTACATTTTAATTTAAAATACTCACTTTTTTAATAATATTTGTGACCATAGTAACCACCATAAACACCGGAAGCGTAGTAGGGTGAGTAGTAGCCATAGGGATGTCCATATCCGTAGCCGTAGCCGTACGAATATGGTGAATATACAACGGCACCAAGAGTGGCGATCACAAGGGCCAAGAAAATGAGAGCAATCTGTAAAATTTTAATTAGTTAATATAAGACTTACTAGGAAGAATGTGTAATGATGATAAGGGTGAATTAAAGATTCGTACTTACCAGGGTCTTCATATTGTTAGAATTGATAATGCTTCTTCAAAGATAAGCAGAATAAATATTGAGGGAACAGAGTTCCTTTTATATATCTCTAAATGGGGGGATGGTAATGAGAAGGTGTGCGCGCGTACTGCAAATTATGCAATTAAAAATAAAACTTTAAATGTCATATTTCCTGATTTGATAGAATAGACATTCAAATACACACCCCTCCTTTTTTACCTTGAGACAAGGTCTATCTGATCATTATAGGAACCATGTAAGAATTTCTAAGTTGCTTCCTTCATTGATGCTTCATCTGGCAAATAGTTGTATCTGTAAGAAGATGACCTTCATTCACGTCTCATCCCACTTTTTACAGGTTCTTCTGACCTTGACCATGACGTTTCGAACTTTCCAGTAAATTTCCTTAGAAAATAAATAAAAAAGTAGTCTATATTAAGTTAAAATATTCATTTTATATTTAATCATTAAAAATTTGGAATTTTTATTTAATTATTGGCGATTTACTTTTATCATTTTTTAAAATAATTTTTACAGGATTCGTCTGATCGAATGAAAAGATTCGTTTTATGTTTTTGTTCTAAGAGTCTTTCGAAAGTTTTAACACTTAAAATTATACTGTTAAAATAATTTTTACGATTGCAACTAAGTCCATACAAGTTTCAATTTAAATAACAATTTAATACATACGTACTGTACAGTACAGTATATAGGTTATAAAATTTAAGGCATTACATTTTATATATATTAAGAAATTAAAAACATATACTGTGCAATTAGTTATGATATTAAAAATGTCATTAAACACATTTAGATATAAATTTTGTTATAATTTTTAAATTTTATTTTTAATTTTACAAAGTTTTTTTATGATTTAGGCTCATATTAATTTTATCGACGAGTTATAATGAAAACGATGGCAAATAATTTATAGACAATAAATACATTTTAGATCATTAAAATTATACTGAATAATAATAATAATAATAATAATAGCTTATGCTTTTTACAACGAAGAGTTGTGTTTTAATTTTTTAAAATTTTACTTTAAACTAAAAGATGTTAATAAAATGTTCAATAGTGTTATGTTCTTTTATAATTCTGTATATGTCTAGCTATCGTGTA